GACAAGGTGAGACACAGTTTTGTTGTGTGTGTGTGTGTGTGTGTGGGTGTCACAAGGTGAGACACAGTTTTGTTGTGTGTGTGTGTGTGTGTGTGTGGGTGTCACAAGGTGAGACACAGTTTTGTTTCGTCTTTTGTCTCAGCTTGTCAACATTTTAAATTGGGTGAAAAAACACAAAAAGTATAAATTTGTCACCGGGTGGGACATCGTTATTTTATTGTCTCCGCTCCGTGGACAAAAATTTTAAACGAGGTTAAAAACTCCCTGGTCAAAGCCTAGTTTGTGTTACAAAGTGTTCAGTTTGTTAGTGTTTGAGGCTTTATTGGCTGCTAGCACTGCATGCTTCCTGGGAATCTTATGATGTTCTTGAGTGCTCATAGGTCTGTGGGTGGTTGGTTGGTGCTCTAGTGTGGTTTGCTCCTTCTTTTCTATCAAACATCTATCGTCTTTATCTCCCCTCCTTTTTTGTGTGTTAGTTATTCTCTTGTAACACCTCTAATCTTCTGCACTTATATGACCTTATTGTGTTGCAAGTGCCGTAAAACTCTTACAAAACTTTTTTAAAACTTTGGTCTGTTGGTAATACAGATTGTAAATCACACAGAGCATGCTTTTGAGCGGGGGTGTGGGCTATACAAATGCTATTTATTATTATTTATCATTCATAATTTCTACTAATTTCCACAGGTGTTTTTCTGTGGGCGCAGTGACTACTTCCAAGCTCTGCTGGAAGACCACTTCGGGGAGTGTCAGCAGGGGGAGTCGGTGCCCACGCTCATCCTACACGACGTGTCTGTGGACGTGTTTGTGCGGATCCTCATGTACATCTACACAGACTCGTGTGATGTGAGTACTAGTACGTGTTTGTGATGTGAGTACTTGTACGTGTTTGTGATGTGAGTACTTGTACATGTTTGTGATGTGAGTACTTGTACGTGTTTGTGCGGATCCTCATGTACATCTACACAGACTCGTGTGATGTGAGTACTTGTACCTGTTTGTGATGTGAAGTGAGTACTTGTACGAGTTTGCGTGTGATGTGAGTACTTGTACGTGTTTGTGATTGAGTACTTGTATGTGTTTGTGATGTGAGTACTTGTATGTGTTTGTGATGTGAGTACTTGTACGTGTTTGTGATGTAAGTACTTGTACGTGTTTGTGATGTGAGTACTTGTACCTGTTTGTGCGGATCCTGATGTACATCTACACAGACTCGTGTGATGTGAGTACTTGTACCTGTTTGTGCGGATCCTGATGTACATCTACACAGACTCGTGTGATGTGAGTACTTGTACCTGTTTGTGCGGATCCTGATGTACATCTACACAGACTCGTGTGATGTGAGTACTTGTACCTGTTTGTGCGGATCCTGATGTACATCTACACAGACTCGTGTGATGTGAGTACTTGTACCTGTTTGTGATGTGAAGTGAGTACTTGTACCTGTTTGTGATGTGAAGTGAGTACTTGTACCTGTTTGTGATGTGAAGTGAGTACTTGTACCTGTTTGTGATGTGAAGTGAGTACTTGTACATGTTTGTGAAGTGAGTACTTGTACCTGTTTGTGAAGTGAGTACTTGTACTTGTTGTTACCTGGCAACAAAATGGTGGATGATTTTAATTCAGCAATATTCAGCAATATTTAGCAATATTTAGCAATATTTTTTTCTATACAAAGAAATCCTCTGCATATTTAGAGACAGTTATTCGTTATTGACGACCAGGATTTGATTATAGGAAGTGGACGGCTAAATCGAGTGCAACGGTAAGATTTTTGCAATTATACTTTTACTTTTGATCCCTGGGGATCCAAATTGTTGCTTGGTGAAGCAGAAACTAATCAAGTGTCACAAGGGAGTTAACACATTACACCCTAACTCGACTGGATCGATAACAACAACACCCTATCTCGCCCGGGATCGCCCAAGAATTTCCTTCCGTGCTCCACCCTTACTCGCCCACTCCGACCAGGCGTCTTTAGAAACGAAGTTTCACCTTAACGAAACTCTGGGGTTGAGATTTTGTTTTACATAATCATTGCAAAATGTTTCTTCTTCCATTTGATGAGGAAATGAAATTTTTCGGGTTAGAGCCAATCGAAGTGCGATGGCGTTTCCAACACTTTGAAGGTCTCTCGACTTGTTGAAAAGCAACACAATTGAGTTTGAAAAAGGAAATAACGATGAATTTGAGAAAGAACAAGCAAATGACAAATCAGATGAATCAGATATTGATGAAAACGTTGTAGCAAGAGTTTAGGGCGATTCAGATTTATCTGATGTAGATTTTAGATCAAGGGCCCGACCGCGAGATTGAGAGTGAGAGTCACGGGTTGGACACCCCGATTGAACTAAAGTTAGAACATTTCCAACAGTTTGTGCATACATAGTTATATTTTTCTGAAACTACATTCCTTTCTCTTTCTAATTTTGATTTTTTCAGGATTTTTGGAATTTGTTTAGTATTTTTAAAATTGTGTTTTTTAAACACTTGTATTCACGGGAGGTGGGTTCCTTCCTCTTGCTTAGGATTTGGGGGTAGACTTCCCGTCCAGACCCTTAGGGTGTCATGTGTTAAGGAACAGAAAGATTTGCTTCAGAACACTCATCTCTTTTTACACATAAATATGCAAATTAGTAAACGACATTTGCTGAGATAGATTTGTATACCAGGACTGGGTACAAAGACAATAAAGCCCCAAAGATGCTTTACCGAAACATAAAACAGATGCCTGGAGACATGTTTCTGTTAGTCAACAAAACGGTTGCTGATTTGATTTGATTTTAGTTCAGTATGTCGTCAAATGTGCTCTATCAAATTGAAAGACAAATTTCTTCCTATTTTTGGCTGTTTCACACATTTTCCTTTTTTGACTAAAAATTACAGTTGAAATTGTCTGGTGCGGTTTGTTCCCTCTTTCCTGTCAAATATCTGTCATCCGTCATCCTTATCTCTCCTACTTTTCTTTGTACGTTACTCTCTAGTAGTAATACCATTATTCTTTGTCACTTATGTAACCTTTTTTTTGTGTTGACTGTCTGCCTGTATGCATAGACGAAAAGAGCCGTAGATCTGCTACTATATAACGTATTTTTGTTGCAAGTGCCCTAGAACATATAATACAAAAAAACTAACTCAGAGAAGGATATCTTAGAAATTGGGTGGATGTGTAGATGCCTTGAATCTTTGTATTTTCGGTGGATATAATATGTAGATGTCTTGAATCTTTGTATTTTGGAGGGATATGTAGATGTCTTGAATCTTTGTATTTTGGAGGGATATGTAGATGTCTTGAATCTTTGTATTTTGGGTGGATATGTAGATGCCTTGAATTTCTCTGTTTCCCTCCAGCTACACGCAGATTTTGTGGGCGACGTGCTGATGTGGGCGGACATGTACCTCCTGCCGGGGCTGAAGCGACTCTGTGCCTCCTCCATGATGGCCTACGTGGATCTCTCCAACGTCGTCAGTCTCATCCGAACCGCTCGACTTTTTAACCTACCTCGGCTGGAATCGCACTGTGCAGAGTTCATCGCGAATAATTTGTCAAAGGTAAAATAAGTTTTTACATATATGAATTATGAAATTAGTGTTACAAAATAGGCCAGGGCAAGATCGACGACAAAAAGACTCGAGGCCTCGATCCCAAAACTGAAAAAAGATCGAGGAATCGAGTCCGATTTTCGACTTTGGAAGCTGCTTCAAGTGGGCTGTTTAGAGGCCATGACTTGAACACTGCTAAAAATAGCTCTTAAGATCGAGACCCCGAGTCTTGAACACTGCTAAAAATAGCTCTTAAGATCG